TGGAATTGGTAAAAAGTGGTCTAAATATGATCTAAGTCATTCCATCTTTCTCAATTGCATTTTAAATTTTTTTGAAAAATTGTGTACTTGGTCCCAACACATCGCTCTTTTATGTGCTGCAGTTTCTCCCTTGCAACGTTAACTGCGTGCTCATGCGATTGAGCAGAATTATTGACGAGCCACACACTTTCCTCTTATGTTTCTTTTGCCAACCTGTATTATGTTGGAATCCTTGGGCGTACAAAACACCAGGAACGCCCTTTTTGTTTCGTTCGGATCGATTGAATTCTTCCAAGGTGTGCACACTTCCGTGTGGTACGTCAAGCGAGCACGTGGTATTCTACAAGCGCATCAATGCTTGAGACCGTACGAATAGTGCGAGGAAAAGATGTCCGGAAATATGCATTTAAGTGCAGTGTTAGTGAACACCTCTTGCTAAGCCAGAGGTGGCAACCGTATTTTAGTGATATGACAACCACTACCCATGTGCAAACATGTGTCACCGAAGGGCACGGAGCGAAAACACCGTTGCATTACCGCTGATGAAAATGACCACCCAGTAACTGCTATCATACATTGTCCAAATGCAGGTGGTTATAGTGAAACTATGTTGGCATAAGATTTCATGAGTCTTGACTAAGAAGGGAATCACGAGCAACTTATAATTTGCCGTATGAGCGAAGGATCTAAGTGCTCGGGGTCTTCCGCGGACAATATCGGCGTTTGAGCGGAGACCTCATTTTGGCTTGCCAGACTTCGCGAGATTCCAACCGGAGGTGCCGCTAATTGCTAGAGCTCAGTCACATCAGTAATTTGAGAGACCACCATCTCAAGCTGTCAGAGCAGTACAGTCGTTTGGAATGCCATCGGAATTTCTTTTCCCTACGCGTTTGCCGAACGTGGAATGTCCCACCGGAAGCTGTCATATGTGCTCTCACGCTGGCAGATTTCAAAGCCCAAGTTGACCGTGCACTGATTTCGCTGCACCATCTTACATGACCCATTACCTATGGATCAACACAAGTGTCTGTAAGCGATTTCACTGGAGGTCAAATCACAGATTTCATTCCACATTTTTCACCTCCTGTATGTATACAACAAGAGGAGACACGATTTTACTAAAATCCTATTTGCCGTCATTCTGTATGGATGTACCTTAGATTTACAGCTTGTACTACGTATACTTCAGTGAGTTCACCAGTGTTAACCCAATTTTGCTAAAAATTCTTTTCTATATTTTGAAGTTTAACCATGACCATCCTACGGGACCTGTTAAACTTTTGGTTTTTTATCCATATAAAACCATTGTTCTAATGTAACTAAGAAATTCGAAGCCGTTCTTTATTCCAGTTTAAAAAAACAAGTGTAAGCTCATCTGCGATACAGCATCTGGTTGTCATTCTGGCTACTACAGCTACACTGAGTTAGCCGTATTTTCCTATGTGGAGAACAAGCAATGCTCCTCCATCACTCATCGTCCCACCATTCACAGTGGGCTACATGAACAAGTTAAATAGCCTGCGCTAACGATAACGTGTGATCCTTTCGTCTTATAAGATGCATATTGCTTTTCCGTTTTATTTGAATTTATATTGCTTATTTCCTATGGATGCTGCAAATGTTTAATATACTGATTACGTTGCCCCGGTGAACTCCTGCGAGTAAACGTATCCATCGGTGCGGATTTTGTGCTGTTCTCCAAGCTGAGTGATTATTGTGCCGACGTTTTGTTGCCTGACCATGCAACATCATCAGTGCGGCTTCAGGGGCCTGGTTCACAGTGCCTCGTAAGCGACTTCAATTTCCAAGTGTCTGTTGATCGACTTCTGCTTTGAATGCCAGGCTTCAATGAACTCACGTGCTTGAAGCCTGGCATTCAAAGCAGAACTCGATCAACAGACACTTGGACATTGAAGTCGCTTACGAGGCACTGCAAACCAGGCCTCTGAAGCCTCAATGATGATGTTGCCTAGTCAGGCAACGAAACATCTGCACAATAATCACTTTGCTCGGGGAACAGCACAAAATCCGCATCCACACCCGAGCTACGGTATCCATCGGTTTTAGATGGACCAACGCCAAACAGTACTCCATTTAACCATTTTCCCCCGTTGTATGCTAAGCATCTCCGGTGACTCACCAGGAAAATCGATTGCCCAAACGGAGAATCGGTTGTCATTCCTCGCATTACCTTGGTCCTGGTAACTAACAAGTGGAGGGGAACATTTGAAAGTACGCACAAACATTCATTAGGTTTTTAGTCAACTGGAAAAGGCCAATTGCCAATGCACCACTAATCTTGATAATACGTCATGTTAAATAGGTTTTGTAACCGTTGATCATGAAATAAGTCTTGTTCGTATGAGCTGAATATGTTTATCCATCACGTCTGACAGGTTAGTCACTCATGGTGTGCTTATCAACAATTTGAAGAGAAAAGCCTACTTGGACGACCCTGACGTACACAAAGTTTGCTATTAAACTCAGTGTTTAACATCTCATGAACCATTAATTTACTCCCGAAGCCAGATTATTCTGGATCCAGAAATGAATAAATTACGTATGATGCGATCTCGGTGTGATAGTTCAAGATGACCTCGGTTGTTCGAGGCAGACTGAAAAGGCAGCTAAGAAAGCGAACCAGTACCTCGGCCTTCTTCGTAGAGCCTTCGGGAAGTTTGACCCTTCAGTCTTCCCAAAAATGCTTAGTGCGTAGGTGAGGCTGCACGCGGAATACTCTACCCAATCGTGGCAACCCTGGCTCAAGCACCATCTCACCGCGCTCAATACTGCACAACGTAGAGCAACGAAAAGCGTCAGAGGTTTGACCAGCCTCCCCTACCCACTCAGGCTGAAGACCCTCAAAATATACAGTGGACGTTATCGGCGTCTATGTGGCGATCTCATAATGGTGTACCTAATCCTGAGTGACCCCAAGCACCTATGCCATTCCCTACTAATACTCAGTCAAAACACCTCGCTAAGAGATCACCAGTTTAAGTTAGTCACGCAGCCGCCTGGAATGTCGGCGAAACTATTTCTCCCTTCGAGTGGCACAGCCTTGGAACGCTCTCCCGGAACATGTAATTAATGCACCCACCCTAACCCTTTACAAAAAACGCCTTGACGATACCCTGTCACATTTACATTACGTGCTATTGCTCATGACCACGAGATGCTGGCACTAATGCACAACAGACAGGGGATAGTGCCATAACCCTACTCGTGAATGAGTCATTCCAAATTCCTTGCACGAAATTTGATAAACGCTACTACTACAGAAACTGGATTACTGTATCCTGTCGACCCAAGATAGTTGCACACGAGTAACAGTTGTCCTTGCAACCTTTTTTATTTTTCTCGCCTATGATGTGAACAATAAGCACTCCCCTGTTGCTTTGCTTTGCGTACGTACATTCTCATTTCAAACTCCCTTTATGCGACAGTGCAGTTACATCTGTAAGCGCCCGAACTAAAGACTCCATTATCCCTTCGCTATTTTTTTATCACGCTGTACACCTTACGGGACATGTCAAGCACCTGCTATTTTACCCTTTATAAATCATTGTTCATTGTCCTACAAAGCTGAGCAGTGCAAGAAACAGGGGCGATTTGCTGAAGTAAAGGTTACCCTCAAGCCAAGAGATGATCATGACGGGGCCAGCGTACGAATGACCCGGTTCGATTAACTGAGGATGTGTAAGTATGTAGGGGACACATCTGCTTTGCGCGTCGAAGCTGATCTAGTTTACATAGATTTGTCGCCATCACGGATCAGTTAGTGCTGGCTGTACGTAAGTGTTTGGACGCAGTACCAGGAGATCAAGCCTCTGGTGTTACTATTTTGCCATCTAGAAACAATGGAACGATTATATAATACAGATAAAATGCCAAGGCTTGTCAAGTCCCGTAGGATGATTTGTGGGGATAACGTTTGTTCAAAAAATTTGGACGAAAGTGAAAAAAAACGCATCAGTGGACTCATTATATTATCCATATTAACACAAAGGTATGTCGGTCTACCCAAATTTCGTGGGATTAGTGAGCACAATGTTTGCCTGCGCCATGTAGTCACTCAATTAAAATGGGTAGCGCTAGCGCGGAAATGACAAAGGTTGAAAGAGCGTTCGACCATTGCCAAACTCGAAGGGAAAAATAATACCAGCGGCACTCCAGCCGGCTGCATTTGGTGGCCAGTTTTAAATTATAACCCCTCACTTCCGTGCTGCGGCTAAGTTTCAGGAGATATCGCCAGCAGTGACCATGGTTTTTCAAGATCTAGAACGCTAGGATAAAGTCATCTCGTAGACAGCGATATCTGCCGCTGTACACTCCCAGGGATCACAGTCGCCTATGGTATTGCAGGTGGGACAACCCCTTTACATTTTTCGTTGCCCTTCGTTGTGCGGTCTCTAGCGCAGCCAGATCGCGTTGTAACCAGTTTTGCCAAGCCTGGATTGCGTACTCTACATGGAGCCCCACATATGCATTGAGCACTTGGGGGGAAGTTGGTTCGCGGTTTTGGACACCTTCCAGGACTGCGCCGAACAGCCGAGATCATTTTGCATCACCACCCCAATGTCTCGCTGTTCTGAGGCGGTTTTCAGGAAGTCGTCTCCACGCTTATATGCGTACGTGGGCTTGCGGTGGACATGCATGGTTTTGCACTTGTTAAACGTGTTAAACGGAAGTATATTTGCCTTTGAGCATTCAAAGGCGTCGTCTAAGTCTCATTGCCTATAATGTCAAGCGGTAAACTTTCTAGCAGGGTCAAGTGTTTACTTTGCGTTAGTCACAATGGCTTTCGCTGTATGCATTGTTTAAGTGGGATTGTTGCCCAGCTTTGGCTCTGCACAAGCTGATGATTGGTGTCCGGTGGAAAAAGTACTCTCATGTTTCAGAATTCTGCTAAGTAATACGTTATCAACCAATATGTCATGTGATAGTAAACATTCTGTATCTACGTTTAGTTTTTACTTTTACTCTCCTTTGCATTCCAGATATATGTTTATAACACAAATTAATTTGAAACAGCGACGCGATGAACGAGTTTTCGTATCTCCACGTCTAACCAAACCAGCTCAAAGTTGTGCATAAAGGCAATTATACCTAACGGTGAACTACAAACGAAGACACTTTTCAAAGTTGGTCATTTTCGATCAATGGGCATATATTTCTACTCTACCCAAGTGGTTTCACTCAAATTCACTCTGTCTTATTCACGTAATTCTAGCCGTTTGTTACCTGACGTTGTTTCAGGATCTCTGTTTCTCCAATGAGCCTGCCACGTACATTGTCCTAACCAATCATGGCGAGCCACCGCACTCGTATGCAATACGAACAACAGAAGCAAGCTGGTGTATTCGGACGGAATGACAGCCAATCTTCCTTAAAATCAGATGACCCACTAAACACACCATCCGGCTCCAGTCTTCGAGGGCCAGTGCACCGCTCTGGAGATCTGTCCAGTTCAGTGCTCTCTGGATCATATTCATCATCCAGACCACGCGCTCAGCTTTCCGGTGCAGCGGCCGCAGTTGCCAGGAATTATGAAAACTTGCCGGAAAGTTCCCGACCAGGATCAGCTTCCTCAACTCTGAACATGACACCGAGAACGCAGCGAGACTTCGGTGCGCGACCTGGAAGTGTGCTAAGTTATCAGCCTTCCACAGTAGTTGGAAAGTCGGTTGTAAGCGGTCGCTCAGTGTATAGTGTGAGCCAGTTAAGAGTGTCCCGAAGTCTTAAGGCGTCTAGGGTGAGTTTTGTGGCGTCTTGCCAAGTGTTTCTCAGCATTTATACGGTTTGCCACATCCTGAGTATTGGAACTCGTTTCCTTTGTAAGATTAGTGTAATAAATTTCTTACTTAGCAGTTGCTAATCATCCAAGCCTGTAATTTGGTTGGAAGATTGCTTCATGAAGGCTTTTATGCCACAACCTAACCCAATCAGGAAGGGACACCATTCGGTCGATTTCTATGTCCTAATAGCAAATAATAGCGGAAAATAAATTGTACAATGCAAACTTAAATATCAAACGTACCCGGTATCTACGTGATCTTGTTGCTTCTAGCCTGTCACTACGGCGTATAGAACAATCAAACAAGCACATTAACAGGTGAGGTTGGTGCGTACGCAATCTGGTATAATCCACATATGCCGAGGGAAGTGATCTGCACAATTCTGTTCGCATACATATCAATAGAAAGTCACACACACACACACACACACACACACACACACACCACTTCCGTATTCATGTAGAGTGAAGCTTATGGTCACTTATTTGGTCAATGTTGAAAAAACAGTGTAGAGTTGCTCTTGTGGGTGGATTGGCCACTTCTCTCTTTTGTTACCGGCTTGAGTCTGGTCGCCGCAATGTGTGCTTATATCTTCTCGCTCGTCGACGATACTGTGATAGATAAAGGCGACACTGAGTATATTAATGGTCAATTATATGAACGGGGCCGCTTAAGTGACGGAGAACAGTTACTGTCATTTTACTCGACCATTGTGCTTACCGCACCATCCACTACTCTCTGTGTGGAAGGAAAGTTTAGCTTCAGATAATCCTGAACATGTCATCATGGCACATAACTCCAGGATGAATCTACTCCGCAAAAGACTGAAAACACTAGGGTCTACTCAAATCTGAAATTTGAAACAGTTAAGAATTTGAAAAGCTCAGTAATAAGAGTAAGACTGACTGCGCATGAAACTGGCCAGAGTCAAGCTGCTTGTCTGCGTAAGCCAACAGCCTCTTCGATCGGCCGACACTTATGGACCACAGGTCACCGAGTCGAGGTCAATTCGACGTTCACAATTCCATTACAGCACACCAATTCTCGCCTTCTCCGTTTCGCAGAAGCGATTGCAATTAACCGGTTTAGGCCGCTGTTTTGTGTTCAGAAACAATCATCGGTCAGCGTTAGACTGCCCGGGGTATAGGGGTGATAACCCTGTCTCGCTTATCGTGTGTTGGTCTGTTCGTTTCTTTGCATGTGTGTGCCCCATGCTGAGGCTGATGTTGCATTCATGATGCTTCTTCACTGCAGTTGGGCTAAATCAAGTTATACTTAAATTAGGTCTTTTTAAGCTGAATAATATTCATTCCACTTCATTTGATTTGTTCTGCCTACTTGATAATCTTCTCCTAACTTGCACACGTCGCTCATGTGGTCTTTTTTAAATAACCTTCAGACATTTTGTACTTATCGCGCATTCATAAGCAATTTAATCCATATGCTCATTTAGCGAGTATTTATGTTGTCATATAGGTTTACTTTATTTGATATCGGGATTTCGAATGATTGGCTGTTGCTTAATCTCCTCGGTGTGGCTGCGCTTGCTATGCATGTTGACAAAGTGCCTACCTATCTGGTACCCGCCACCTAGTCCATACTGCCTCCAGAAGACAGTTGGTCATTGCTGGAGGGGACGGGGTGCACGGTCCTTGTAATCGTGCTAGACTCGAAGAGTGGTTCCAGGCACTCAGTGTGGAGCGGACTACGTTCCAGCCATCGCCTTGTGTGCGCTTGATTCCCAACTGCAGCGTGCTTGTGTTTGCCTGTGAAGGAGTGTGGGCCGGCTCCGTTGATGAAACGTGGCTCCCATCCACATGCCTCCCGGTCTTATTCCTTCGGGTTTACACTGGATATGGGGTGTGTGGATGGAACTGTTGGTGGTGCAGCGCAAGCCACCCGTGGTCCCTCTGTAAGCGCAGGCGTCCTGTGACTGACCACTGTGACAGACAAATCCGAAACCGGATGGCGACTACCATGTTTGGTCGCACCCGTCACCGAGTAAATATTATTGCGAGTTATTGTTAAAGGCACTAATGAGATAATACGAAATGCGTGCATTTGCCAGTCATCGCCTATTCAAATTGTCACAAATCGAAAGAACTGGAAACCTCGCCTATCGACGCCACCCATTAGTCAAAACATGGATAAGTGTTTAGTAAAGGCCAACTTACACAAACAAACCAAACGTTTTGAATGTACAGAGTAACCGTATCACTGCACTTCCTGTGGAAGAGTGCCTCTATCCTGAGACCAACTAGCGGCAAGATTACATAGAGTATAAATAGCTAGTGAACTAGACACAGGGAAGAGTTTTTCGCGCTTTCTCTCGAAGTGCGTCTGCAACCGACTTTTTACTGTCTCGTTCCGGTTTAGCAATCTAAGTCCGACTAGGCAGCCTAATAGCAATTCCATTCGTCAAAAGAATGTCAAAATAAACCTTACTCACCTATACGGGTGCGTTTTCATCTGACCACTGGGGCAGTGCCCGCTTGCAATAAATCAAGCCTGGGGTTTGATCACGAATAAATCCTACTCAGGTTTACCGGCGGCTCATAAAACTCACACATGTCTCCTCGATCACTGTGTCAACATCATTTACAAAGAGGTACTAACCAATGTAACTCTTTCCTGGGTTCTCCGACTACACTCCTAGTGGTTTGATCGCAGGTAGTCAGTCAACATGCGGGTCAACACAGTAATCTCATTCCTGTGAACAAAACTTCCTGGTCGGTCAACGAAGATTCTCTTACGGCACATGTGTTTAGTTGGCACACCGCACGCAATGATGCGATTACCAACTGACCAAATTTGATCCAACGCAAAACGTAACAAGTGTAGTGCAAAATTCTGAATTTAGGTTCATGTGTGACCCATCTAAAACCACTTCTCAACAGATAATAGCATGAAAGAAACACAGTCTTACACAGTAGACAGTTCTGCTACGCTAAGTTGTTCATCTGCATTGCGTCTGTCCTCGAAATATGTTAATATACGATAAAAGCTTAGATTGCATTCAGATTACACTACCTCTGACTGCCTCCACGGGCATGTTAGCGAAAGCCAATATGTTAAACTTGGGAATTGTTCCAGTTGTAGTCGCCAGTAGAGAATTGAACAAAGTACACTTTAATATTTCTCAGGCGCGTTTTCTTGACTTTTCAGCTTATCGATCCACTAATAGGACTTCTACGTCTCTCACAACGCGTTTCAACGCAAAAATAGGAAATTTACCACAACCAAAACACTCGATAAAACGGATTAAATGCCAGGCTCAAGCTTGTTTTGAATTATTCGATAAGAGACATTTTTGATGCCTTATCCAGTGCTGTTAAGGCATGTCAGAATCTATCAATCTTTGGAAAAGGAGAAACAAGCAACAAGACAATGTCAAGATGTCCGCAGAAAACATCACTGCAGTTGGCTGCGAGTCACCTCAGCAGCGTGTAACTGTACGATCTTTGCAAAGCTTTGGACAACGGTCTACCGATAGAGACCGGTCTATTGAAATGTACCTCACCGTGACAGACCTCATGCTGCGCGGCTGAGTCAAAGCTTGAAATTCGCTCCATGTTCATCACCCACTATCTGCCGACGTGCGGCATGCTTTGCGACTGATTCAGTGCTCGGTTCTCGTCGTTCGAAAATGCAACGATCAACGGAGCGCACGACCATCAGACTCCTTTAAGTGTTCAGCTAACTTGGTGTCGCCTGTGCACATGAACTAAGCCTAAAAAGTGGATGGTAGAACACAGCCACACCTATCAGGTTTAGTAATGGAAGCAGTTACTTCAAAACAAGTGTGGTAAAGTACAGTGGACGGTGGTACTGCACGCCATCTGTCTCAGAAAGAAGCTAATTCCTTATGTATATTTTGTGTATATTGTTGGCAGCATAGGGTTCCCGATTTCCTTGTGACTGCGAACAGCCACAGGATGCGTGCACCTACTGAGGGACCATAGGTGGGTTACTCTGCACCATCGACAGCTCCACCTGCACGCCCCATGCCCAATGCGCACCCGGAGGAATAAAATTGAGAGGCAGGTGGATTGGAGCCTCAAGTGATTCGGGGCCAACCCGCACCCTCTCAACATGCACATCATTCATTAGAGTAGGAAGCATGAATATCAGTCGCATGCAAAGCCGTGGCTGGGCTGTTGCCCGTTCCACACTGCATAAAATTACACATTAAGAAGGGCACCTTCAAAGAAGACTCTGCACCCTGTCACTGCTAGCGACGTTTAACAGTCTCCAAGGACTAGTAATCCAGGTAGCGGATTCGAAAGGTAGGCACCTTGTCAATATTCACAGCAGGCGCAGTCAGACTTGGGAACTGAAATGTTAAGGGCTTTCAAAAAGGCGACAACATACACCCTTGAGCATATGTACAGTCTATGTATATCTATGGCTGACGGCATCCGGTATCGGATTTGCCTGACACTGTGGCCTCCACACGACGCCTGTGCCTACGAAGGGACCGTAGGTAGCTTGCGCTGCACCGCCCACAGCTCCATCAACACACCCCATATCCAGTGTAAACCCGAAGGAATAAGACCGGGAGGCATGTGGATGAAAGCCACGTTTCATCAACGGAGCCGGCCCACACTCATTCACAGGCAGACACATCCACGCTGTATTTGGGGAATCAAGCACACTCAAGGTGGTAGCTGGACCGTAGTTCGCTCCAAACGGAGTGCATGAAACCACTCTGCGAGCCTAGCACGGCCACGAGGACCGTGCACCTCTTCCCCTTCAGTAACGACCAACTGTGTCCTAGAGCCAGTATAGAGGAGGTAGTAGGTAATAGACAGGTAGGCACCTTGTCAACATGCACATCAAGCGCAGCCACACAGTGGATATCAAGCAACAGCTTCCCCCCCCCCACATACCTGGGGAAGCATACCAAGGTTGGCGGCATCCGGTTTCGGATTTGCCTGTCACTGTGGTAAGCCACAGG